TTTTTTTTTTTTTTGTGAAAGCTTAAACTGCTTCATTTTGATTACTTTTACAATGTCTTTATGAACTTTTTATTGTGTGCAAGTTTAAAACACCCTCATGTATTTTAATGTTTCATGAAATTTTTTCTTTTTTCATGCAATGAGCCATGCATATTCCAGGTCTTCTGAAGCCATGTGATGTCTTCCTGTAGTGTAACAGCATTTATCGGCATGGTGTGTGTGTTTGCAGGAGAGCGTTTAGTGATGGTTGAGGCTCAGTGTGAGCGGGTTCGGATGCTGTATCGAGACTGCGCTCGTCCTCCACCTCCTCCAGTGCAAACCGATCAACGACAGGTGAGATGAGCATCGTTAATGCGACCGAGAGGAGCCGCTTGCTGTTGTGTGATATTATCATGTCTGCTATCCTTCTCTCAGCTTCCTGCTTGCCTTATATGGGCTGCTCTGTACACACACAAAACGACTGGCAGACATAAAGCCTTTTGAACACATAATCAGTCTTCCTCTCTCCGCAGCCTAAGGAAATCACGTGGTGCCCGTCACGCGTCTTCCCTCCGGTGCGCGCCTGCATGTTCTCCTCACACTTGACCTCTGTGACCTTTCTGGCCGATCCGAGCGCAGGCGGAGGCCTTCCCAGAGGAACGTTCATCTACGCCACTTCACCTGTGCCTGTCCAGGTAACCACAGCCTGTTTGTGGCGCATAGTTTTTATATTTTCTAGTTTTCTTTCCATTTTTGTGAATGTTTTAGTAATTTTGTTGTGTTTTTGACATTTTTATTATTGTTTTTAAAAAGTTTTAGTTTTTTGTTTATTTGGTTTCAGTTATTTTAGTACTTCAGCTTAAAGGGGTCATCGGATGCCCATTTTCCACAAGTTGATATGATTCTTTAGGGTCTTAATGAAAAGTCTGTAACATAGTTTAGTTAAAATTTCTCAAAGGTAGTGTAAAAAACACCTTTTTACCCTGTCAAAAACAGCTCTGTTTACAGCAAGCCATTTTAGTGCATGTCGCTTTAAATGCAAATGAGCTCTGCTGACCCCGCCCCTCTCTTCCGAGCCGCTTTCTGAGAGATGAAACTTCAGCCGCGTTCATCTTGAAAATTGCTAACTAGCACGTTATTAGGAAAGGCGATTTGCAAAGATTCATTAAAAAACCTGACACTCACTTCTTCTGTAGGTGAAGCTGGATCACGAATGATTCGCGCAAACATAGACGCATTTATGTAGATCAGGGTGCATTCCCTTCAGAAACAAATGTAATCCTCTGCGTCTTCAGCGGCTCAGATGTCGGGAGTAAATGACGACTGCTCTGTTCATTATTACATCCAACAACAGAACACCTCAATCGCTTAGAGGAGTCATTCTGTGGGGGTTTGGATTTATCGAGATTTAAAAAAAAGCACTGGGTGGATCTTTATCATTATAGGGTGGTTGTGTACACACATTTAATTAATTTAAATTCAAACAACATGTAAAAGTGAATTTTGCATCCATTGACCCCTTTAAACTAAATGAAAATAAGACAACTGAAAATGGCAACTAGATGAAATAAGTTTTTATTTTTTTTCATATTTATTTTATTTTCATATTTATTTAGTTTTCTTGTAAATCAGCAATACATTGATCAAAAGTGACATTACAGATATTTATAATGGTACCAAAGATTTCTGTTTCAAATAAATGCTGTTCTTTTGACCTTTCTATTCATGAAATAATCCTGAAAAATAAAATGTATCACAGTTCCCACAAAAGTATGAAGCAGCACGACTGTTTTCAACATTGATAATAACTAGAAAGGTTTCTCGAGCAGCAGATCAGCATATTATACTGATTTCTGAAGATCATGTGACACTGAAGACTGGAGTAATGATGCTGAAAATACAGCTGCGCATCACCGACATAGATTACATTGTATTTCAAATTGTAATATTTCACAATTTTGCTATTTTCACTATTTTTGATCAAATAAATGCAGCCTTGGTGAGCATAATTGTACGCTAGTCTATAGCCTGCCACTGAAATATCCTGAGCAGCTGAATTAATATTCTAAAAAAAAAAAAAGTTCATTCAATAACGTGCATTCATTGCGTGGATGGTGCAAAAGCATAATATAAGCGTCTAAAATGCATGTAGGCTCAGTTCAGTTGAAAGCTCACCCCTTTTGGCTTGCAGTTAATGCTGAATGTAAGAATGAAAACTGAAAGCGAAGAGCTTGTGCGGTGAAAGTTGCATTCGTTATTATAGCAACAGTCGGCTTTGGAAACGTAGAGTTCCCCTTCTGTGACGATCAGCATATTATACTGATTTCTGAAGATCATGTGACACTGAAGACTGGAGTAATGATGCTGAAAATACAGCTCTGATCACAGAAATAAATTACATTGTATTTCAAATTGTAATATTTCACAATTTTGCTATTTTCACTATTTTTGATCAAATAAATGCAGCCTTGGTGAGCATAATTGTACGCTAGTCTATAGCCTGCCACTGAAATATCCTGAGCAGCTGAATTAATATTCTAAAAAAAAAAAAAAGTTCATTCAATAACGTGCATTCATTGCGTGGATGGTGCAAGAGCATAATATAAGCGTCTAAAATGCATGTAGGCTCAGTTCAGTTGAAAGCTCACCCCTTTTGGCTTGCAGTTAATGCTGAATGTAAGCTTGTGCGGTGAAAGTTGCATTCGTTATTATAGCAACAGTCGGCTTTGGAAACGTAGAGTTCCCCTTCTGTGACGTAAACGAGCAACAATATCCAGTGATGCACACTATTACAGTTTACTATCAGTTTACTATACTCAACTATTTTTTTTTTGTCAAATTCCGGCCTTTTGAGTTGAAAGTAGGTCTGTCATTTACGTGATTCATGTAATGCATAATTGATTGTGACGACAATAGCATTTTCTGTTTTTGCGTTTTCAACAATACAACTAAAATAAAACGGGTGCGTATTTTAAAATAAAAATATGATTTGTAGTTCAGATTGATTACTTCACCAAAATTCTTATTCTTGTTCTTTTACTGATCTTTTTTCTTCTTTTAATTTATTCCCCCTAAATGCATTTTAAATCTTTTATTTATTTCGTTTCTTTAAATAAATACCATTAGAGGTCTGGTCTTTATATTCTCCTCAAAACAATTGATCCGCCCAATGTTCGAGGCGTGATTATGGCCTTGTTTGGTATAAATAAAAAAGTTAGAATCACCAGTGTAGAAACATTGATCCAGAGAAAGATAACTATTTTTAATATTCAATAAAGAAAAAAAAACTTTTATTTTGTTGTGAAAGTGCATGATATTGATCGTTTTTCAGTGTGTATAATATAGTTAACACAGTTAAGCAATATCTACAATTCGCTATAAATATCTAGACTCATTCTTCCCACTGATCGCTCTTTTGCGACTAACTTTCTCAGTTGGTCACATGATTTGGTCGCAATTTTTTTTTGCTTCAACATGGGATTAATCAATGCATGCTGATGAGCTTATCATAGTGTTTATAGTTATATGGAAACGAAAGTGGTACAGTATTTGTGATTTGAATTTTGTGAACGGGAGTTCTTCTTTTGCTGTGTTATAAGCCAGAAAAGATAATTGCCTGATTTGCTTACGTACATCTATGCATATTTCACTTTTTAAGACTAAAACAAAATATGCATTCTTTGCTATTCTTAATTAAAAAGCACAACAACAATAAAACGGTAAGATACAATGACAAACTAGCTCACAAAGCGTTTATTAACAAAAACGAATAAGACGAGGCATGGCACACACCACATGCACACAATATACCGACTAATAAATTACAGAACATTTAGCAAACACTGAGAAATCACATAAATTAAAATAAAAGAGAGCCTTCGTAGTGTAACGTGAGGTTAACAGCAATGATAACAAGCTTTTTAAAATGAAAACATGCATGTTTTTCCCCCACAAGAATACCAACATGTTCACCCTCTCTGGTTTAAGAAGCGATCTTTTACTTTACTTTAGCGTGAAAACCATCCATCGTTTCCTCAATATTCAGGTCATTTTTGCTATAGCTTTCTATAGCTGTCAAGAAGTGCCTGGAGTAGTCTATATCTATCTCTAAGTTTCTCCATCTCTTTCTGGTTTCCAGGCTCCTTCCTTTTACTGGGAGATCGAGGTTGTTTCTTTCGGAGACTCGGAGGATGACAGCGGCCCTGTAGTTTCGTTCGGTTTCTCCCCGGAGGCCGAGAAGAGAGACGGCGCTTGGACCAGTCCTGTGGGCACCTGTCTATTCCACAAGTACTGACCCGCTCCATTTAACACGTCCACTGGACTCTAAACCTGTTCTTTCTCTTCCCCTCTGCTTCCCATCCTAACTCTTTTTTGTTGTTGTTTCTCTCCCACTCAGTAATGGGAGGGCGGTACACTATAATGGCTCCAGCTTGCTGCAGTGGAAGAGTGTGAGACTAGACGTGGCTCTACTTCCCGGTGAGACAGGACCGACTTTATTCTTTTGAGCATTTAGGCATTAGCTACAAGCACATTACGTTGTTCAAGCCAACTGTTGGGAAAGCTACTTTTGAAACTGTTGAAGCATGTTTAAAGGGATTGTTCTTTCCCGCGACGGCGAGTTGCCTATTGTTTCTCTTGTAGCTAACGCTTTCTGTTTGCTCTTAAAACAGAAATTTGTGCTTAAAGAGCTGAAGTTGAGTGTTAAGATGGTGTAGAAGCATGATAATTAAATAAATAATCAGCTGTTGTGTGCACAATAAAATATCACATACTCTGCAAAAAATGTTCTTCTTAATCTGTAATTATGTCTTGTTTTCTATTACAAATATCTAAACATTATTAAATCAAGATAAATCAGCTTGAAGCAAAATTGCAAATTAAGTAAATAAATGGACTAAATACATAGTATAAAAAATGAAGTGAGACGTATTAAAATTGAGTAAGTTCACGCTTAAAATGAGAAGAATTAAAAATATTGAATTAAGTTTATGTATCTTGTCCCATTGGCAAATATTTTTTCTTATTTTAATCATAAATCTTCTTACTTTTGATGCATTATATTAAAACAAGTCTTAATATAATATGCCGTTTTACTTGATTAGGGATGTTTATTTTGGTTATTTTTCCTAACCGACGCTCGTTAACCGACAAGATTATTTCAAATTAGAACTGAATTAAATTAGAAAGGAGTACGTGTCTGTGACCCGTTAACAAATACTAACATTTGTTTCCCGGGGATTAATTTTAGGCTACATGCGCAAAAAGCAGCAAACAACAGAACATGAGGATTCACATGGTCTTCATTTCAACATCACGCACCTGCAGCGCTTCTGCGAGCGGAGAAAAACATAATAAAGCTAGGCTATATATATAACGATAAATAGGCCTATATGAGAAATATGTTTTTACTTAAATAATAAATTAAGAAAACGAAAGAAAAACAAGTAGCCTAGTATTCAGAGTTTCGGTTCATTGTTGTGCTGCGCGAAAGGAAACCAAGACGGCAGAAAGCGGCATCCTATTTTTCTTATAGGCCTATTTTATAAAAGCACAAAGATTTGTTTTTATTGTGAATGTAGACAAAGGCAAACCTTTTACAATTCTGATTATTTTTGTGACTAAAAGGAGTAGTTGCTTCTGTTAAAAGGAACAAATTCAAGTGATTGCGCCAGCGCTGCATGCGCACACACAGTTAAGCATTGCTACCTTGACAATGCAGCCTGTTCATTATCATAATAAAATACAGTCAGTCAAACATATGGAGAAAACACACACTGCTCAGTTTAAATATTTAGTCAAATCTGTGCCGTTAAGCGTTATCACGTACCGCAGTGATGTTATGCAAAACATGTAGTTTTACGTGGATGTTGGAACGCCAGTGAAGCCTAGGCTACATAATAAATAATATTTTGGCATTCAAATATATCGCGAATACAGAAACATTTGATTTTGTGTCGAATGAGAGACGCAACGGTGGTTTCAGTTTCGTTTTAGCCTAAATTTATTTGTTTTGGCTTGTCGTTTAGCTATAGCTTCTTATATTTTTAATTCTTGTTCTTTTCTAAATACTGTTAATTGAAAGGTTTTGTTGTGAAGTGAGGGGAGCTAAAATAGCCTTGCTATGTTTACAGTGTTTATTACAATGTTCGTAAACATTTCGCGTCGGCATTAGGTCTATTTCTGAATAAAATAATAAAATGCGACTTATACTTGCGGTTTTTATTGTTTTTTTTTCTTCTAAAACGTAGCGTATTTTAGCCATGCAGCAAACCTTTTTTAATATTTTGAAAAATTACTGAAAAGAAAACCGGTTAACTGATTGTATTCATCGGTCAAAATTCTTACGGTCGGTCAACCGGTTAAAAAGAGCATCCCTAATCTTGATTTAAGAATGTTTAGAATGTTTTTTTTACTGGAAAACAAGATTTTTGCAGTAAAAACCAGTGTACAAAAACATACCGATACTTGTTGAAAAAAAGCGTCTTGTAAGTGGAAAAAGCTGTGCTGTGTATGTAATAGAATATGACATGTAAAGTTAGTGGGGTTTCTGCATAGTAACGTACTCCCCAATGTTGGCCGGCGAACATTTGACATCATAAATGCCAGCGTTTCTGATCAATCCCAAAGTGTGTTTGTTCATGCATAGTTCTGGAGCTGCTGTGGTGATGGTTTGTGTGGTGTGTTTGGACTCAGGTGATGTTGCAGGCATCGGTTGGGAGCGTCTGGAAGGCACTCCTCCTCCCCCCGGCCAGCCTCCCAAAGGACGAGTGTACTTCACCTACTGCGGCCAGCGTCTCGCTCCTTATCTGGAGGACGTGGCCGGAGGCATGTGGCCTGTAGTCCACATTCAGAAGAAGGTTTGCACACAAAAGATAAATCATCAGTTTCAGTTCATTTATAGGTTAAAATGGATATGCTTGGGAGGAAAAAAAGCCAATTGCAATTTTCAGTGTCATTGTAGTATTATTTGTATACTACTATAGTATTTATTAATATTTTGAATTAACTTCATTTTAATTTTAGTAATTTTATTTTATTTTATTTGTTTCAGTTAGTTGCCAAGGCAACATTTCTCATTTTTATTTACATTTTAAAATGTAACTCAACAAATATTTACATTTTATTTTATCGTATTTCAGCTTTATTTCAATTAAAGACAATTTCATTAAGAATAGGTTTGGGGATCGAAAATCAGTTCCAATTCCAGAATCGGATACCTGTTGTAAAATTTAAATTCCGCCTACAAATTCCTGTCTTTGAATCATTCATTCAAGAGATTCATTCAAAAACACTGACTCATCCAGTAATGAAACAAGTGAATCTTGAGTGAGTCATTGAATCAATTCCATTCATTAATTACATGAGATTTTTACTTGTCTTATTTTTTTCTTCAGAATTTTGAGAGAACTACATCCTCCATTTATATATATAAAAAGTAAATTTATGTAGCCTGCTGATTTTTTTGTTATTCATCATGGGATTCAGCAGAAATTAAATGTTTTGCAAAAAGAGGGACCACAAAACCAGTCATAAGTGTACATTTTTTGAAATTGAGATTTATGGATCATCTGGAAGCTGAATAAATAAGCTTCCCGTTGATGTATGGTTTGTTATGATAGGACAATATTTGGCTGAGATACAACTATTAGAAAATCTGGAATCTGAGGGTGCAAAAAAATCTAAATATTGAGAAAATCATCTTTAAAGTTGTCCAAATGAAGTTCTTAGCAATGCATATTACTAATCAAAAATGAAGTTTTGATATATTTACGGTAGGACATTTACAAAATATCTTCATGGAACATGATCTTTACTTAATATCCTAATGATTTTTGGCATAAAAGAAAAATCTATAATTGTGACCCATACAATGTATTGTTGGCTATTGCTACAAATATCCCCCAGCGACTTAACACTGCTTTTGTGCTCCAGGCTCACATATATTTTTGACATCTAAATGTTTGAATTTTTTTTTTAACCACATTGGAATCGATAAGCAGAATCGGAGTTGGATCGATACCCAACCCTAATTAAGAATAACAGCATTGACTGTTACACCCAATACAGCGAATGAATAAAAAGGAGAGATTATAAATTAGATGGAAAGACAAAAAGATGTTCAAAAAGACAAATAAGTAAAATGGACAAATGCATTTCAGATTGCAGAGTGTAAATAAAGAATGAAGGGCACCTGATAGGATATAATGCGTCATATCTACTCATCAATATTATATGTTTTCCTGGGTTCTGCAGTTCTGGGATATTCAGTGACATCTGTTTTTATGATTGGTTTAAGCATCCAAAAATGTGCTTATGTAGTTGTTGTGATTCTCTGTTTCAGAATACAAAGATTCACGCAAACTTCGGCTGCCGGTTGTTTGCGTACGCAGAGGGACAGGCTCACCGAAACGCCGCCGATCTCTGCATGGACCTCTCAGAGGAGATCAGCGCCAACTTCGAGGCTCTGCCCTTCGCCATGGCCTCCGACAGCGACAACGACGCCGGCACGAGCGTGGCATCTGACTCCGGGTCTCACGGCCCCCCGTGTCGCATCGCTGCGGTCGTCACAGCACAGCAGCGTCAGTGTCTACATATTAACTTATAGTTTCAGAGCAAAAAAAAGCTGTGTGCATGTACGGTACCAGTCAAACGTTTGGAATAATTAAGAAGTTTTAATGTTTTTGAAAGAGTCTCTTCTGCTCAACAAAGCTGCATTTATTTGATCAAAAATACAGGAAAAACTGTAATAGTGTGAAATATTATTACAATTTCAAATAGCTGTTTTTTATGTGAATATATAATGTATTTCTGTGATGTGCAGCTGTATTTTCAGCATCATTCCTCCAGTCTTCAGTGTCACATGATCTTCAGAAATCAGTATAATATGCTGATCTGCTGCTCGAGAAACATTTCTGATTATTATCAATGTTGAAAACAGTCGTGCTGCACAATATTTTTGTGGATAGATTTGATTTTTCAGGATTCACAGGTGAAAACAACATTCAAAAGAGCAGGATTTATTTTTTATTCAAAAATATATCACAATATAGAATAGTTCTTTTAAATTGTAATAAAATGTCAATTTTTTTTTTTTTACTATTTTTTGATCAAACAAATGCAGCCTTGTTGAGCAGAAGAGACTTCTTTCAAAAACATTTTTTTAAAAATCTGAATTATTTCAAAGTTTTGGTTAGAATCTTTTCCATTTTTCCCTCCTACTGCAGAATAAAACTCATTATCTTGCAGAATCGGGAAGGCAGATGTTATTTAAATTTGATGTGGGTTAAATCTGGTTCTTCTTGTTTTGTTTTGTTCACAGAGTACAGCAGCGATGCCTCTTGTCACTATAAGGTTGAACTGAGTTATGAGAATCTGGTCGTCTCCGGGCCAAACGCTCATCCGCCACCGATTGCTGATGATGAGAGCGATGATGAAGATGATGAAGATATTCCCAGGGTATGAAGAGCTCATAACCAGGCCCTTAAAGGAACACTCCACAACTCCCCTAGAGTTAAACCGTTGAGTTTTACCGATGTTAGTCAACACATGGAAGTAAGTGTACTTGATAATTACAATGGTGTGCTTTACTGACGTTATTACAAAATGCATATTTTAAAAGTGCACTCAAGTGTGATACGAAACAGTCATGAAAGTGTCTCTTAAGTGGCCTTGTAGTTCATTGATATTAGCCTATATGATCTGCAGGTACAGTTGTTTTTTTAAATATCCTCTTAAAATCACTTTTTTTTGCACATCTTTTCCTGGAGGTTTTCTCCAGGTGCCTGATATGAATCATGCTGTTTTATGGGACAGGGATGGTGGATATCGCTCGTCAGACCGTCGAGTTCCTGTATGAAGAGAATGGAGGGATTCCTCGAGACCTCTACCTCCCAACCATCGAGGACATCAAAGACGAAGCTAACAAGTTCACCATCGATAAAGTCCGCAAAGGTCTGTGCGAAACACACGTTCACACTATTTGACCGAGATTCTCTTTATTTTCCCGCATCGTGGTGCAAGTTTTTAGCAGCTTTTAGCATTTTGAATTACTTGTAAATGAAGCTTATATAAATTACAATTCAGGATTTCTGCTACGGTAACAGGTTTGACAGTCGGCATCCGCTGCCCTGAGGGAAACAACAGCAGCAGCAGCACAGCTCTGCCGAAGTTTGCCATCCGGGGCATGCTGAAGACCTTCGGCCTGCATGGAGTCGTGCTCGATGTCGACTCTGTGAGTGTCTGCATCAGTCATATAAGGGTTTCCAAAAAAACAGATCAGCGTAGGCAGAAATGAAACTCCACAAACAGTCAAAATTTCACAAAAAAGAAGAAATTGTTATATACTTTGAAATTATATAAGTAAATTAAGCATATTTTTGCATATTTATGAGAATTGATTTTATGTTTTTCAGTTTTGATCAGCAAAAAATCTGCAAAAGTCAGATTTTTTTACTAGGATAAAAACATAAAAATGTAAATAAAAATTACAAATTCTATTTGAAAATAAAGTATTATTGAAATACTTTACATATTCATGAATATTGACTCTGTTGATGTTTTATTCATTATTTTATTTCGTTTTTTTATATTTTGTCAGTTTTTATTTGGATGATTTTAGGACATAATGAGAAGCATCCTTTCACAACAATATTTTTCTAGTAAAATCAGCAAACTGATGTATTAATACTTAATGATGTATAAATAATATTAACATGTATACATATAAATATTTTTGCATTTTTTCCCACAATATTGAAATAGTCCATACATGTTCTTTGCTGGCTGTGATAGCCTTTTAGCCTCTTTTAAATGCACCTGTTTCAAACACAACCAATCTGAAACTTGACTGGCTTGATGTGTGTGTGTTCAGGGCAGTGAGCTGGTGCAGGTGGAGACGTATCTCCGCAGTGAGGGAGTGTTAGTTCGGTACTGGTACCCCATTGAGACGCTGGAGAGGCCGCCGGCAGGATCCCGCAGGGCTGCAGCGAACGGCCTGGTGTCTCTAGACAGCAGCAACATCCAGATTCACCGGTAATGCATTTATAGACACATTTGTGACCCTGGAGCACAAAACCAGTCTTAAGTGTCAATTTTTTGAATTTGAGATGTATACATCATCTGAAAGCTGAATAAATAAGCTTTCCAGTGATGTATGGTTTGTCAGGATCGGACAATATTTGGTCGAGATACAACTATTTGAAAATCTGGAATCTGAGGGTGCAAAAAAATCTAAATATTGAGAAAATCATCTTTAAATTTGTTCAAATTAAGTCTTTAGCAATGCATATTACTAATCAAAAATTAAGTTTTGATATATTTACGGTAGGAAATTTACAAAATATCTTCATGAATTAAGCCTTATTTAAATACTTTTTGCATATTAATGACAATTGACTCTATGCACCTTTGTGCTTTATTCCTAGTTTTATTTATTTTATCTATTTTGTTCATTTTTTATTTTGATAACGTTAGGATATAATGAGAATCATACAGATTTGACTTTTTTTCTAATGAAATGAGCATAAGGCTGTACAATATTCTCATGATTTAATGATGATAATGTGAAATACTGCAGATTTTAAACACTATAATTTTAAACATTATAAATGTAAATATTTTTTCTTAACATTGAAATAGTTCAGACTTGTTTTTTTTGCTGTGAGATAAAATAATAATAATAATAATAATAAACCTCACAAAAAGGCCTAATTTCACAAAAAAAATCATTAAATTCAATTGTTGTGAATATGCTACAATTATTTAAGTCTTTCAAATCATTTTCAAATATATATATATATTTGAAAATTAAGACTTAAATAATTTTTGCATATTCACAACAATTGACTCTTGTGTGCATTTGGTTGCATTTATTTTATTATGGTATAATATTATTATATTATGGTTTAAATTTATTTATTTATTATGTTTGTGCAATTTTGATCAGCAAAAAATCAGCAAAGTCGGATTTGACTAGAATTAAAAAAAAATCTATTTGAAAATAACCATTGAAACAGTCCGTGCCTGTTCTTTGCCGGCTGTGATAATCGTTACATTCACCAGCCTTTTAACCTGCACCTTTTTCAAATGCAACAAATCAGAAACTTGACTGACCTTGAGTGTGTGTTCAGGCCAGTGAGCTGGTGCAGGTGGAGACGTATCTCCGCAGTGAGGGAGTGTTAGTTCGGTACTGGTACCCCATTGAGACGCTGGAGAGGCCGCCGGCAGGATCCCGCAGGGCTGCAGCGAACGGCCTGGTGTCTCTAGACAGCAGCAACATCCAGATTCACCGGTAATGCATTTATAGACACATTTGTGACCCTGGAGCACAAAACCAGTCTTAAGTGTCAATTTTTTGAATTTGAGATGTATACATCATCTGAAAGCTGAATAAATAAGCTTTCCAGTGATGTATGGTTTGTCAGGATCGGACAATATTTGGTCGAGATACAACTATTTGAAAATCTGGAATCTGAGGGTGCAAAAAAAATCTAAATATTGAGAAAATCATCTTTAAAGTTGTTCAAATTAAGTCTTTAGCAATGCATATTACTAATCAAAAATTAAGTTTTGATATATTTACGGTAGGAAATTTACAAAATATCTTCATGGAACATGATCTTTACTTAATATCCTAATGATTTTTGGCATAAAAGAAAAATGTATAATTTTGACCCATACAATGTATTGTTGGCTATTGCTACAAATATACCCCAGAGACTTAACACTGCTTTTGTGCTCTAGGGTCACATTTCTTATTGTCAATTCAAAAATATCAGGTTTTTACTGAAAGAGCTCTTCTTTTAAACACCATGTTTCAGTAGCATTCAGTACTGTGTGTGTGTGTGTGTGTGTTTCAGGGAGCTGCTGCGCTGTGAAAGTGCTCTGGCGCGTCTCTACTGCCGCATGGCATTGCTCAACATCTTTGCTCCCAAGAGCCCTCACACGTTCACACGTCTCTTCCACATCCCCGCCGTGCGAGACATCACACTTGAGCACCTGCAGCTCTTGTCCAATCAGCTGCTGGCTCCGCCTCTGCCAGGTGATGTCATACGAATAATTTAATGAGCACGGGTTGCCAACATGTTTGGTCCAGTTTCCAAATTTACGTTTTACATGTTAAAGGAATAGTTGTAAAATGAAATTTGGTGAAAATGTCAGGCCATCCAAGATTAGGATGAGTTTGTTTCTTCATCAGGTTTGGAGAAATGCAGCATTGCATCAGTGTCTCAGCAATGGATGCTCTGCAGTGAATGGGTGCCGTCAGAATGAGAGTCCAAACAGCTGATAAAAACATCACAATAATCCACAGCACTCTAGTCCATCAGTTAACATCTGGAGAAGACAAAAGCTGTGTGTTTGTAAGAAGCATCCATCCATCATCCAGGTGTTTTAACTTCAAACCTTGATTCTGTTGATTCAAAATATAATCCATTATCCATAATAACACTTCCTCCAGTGAAAAAGTGCATCTCCCGTTGTCTCTCACATCAAAATCCAGCCACATATTTGTTTAGAGCTGTTTTGGACTGTTTAAATGGTGTTTGATCTGTGCAGATTTCTCTCCTGATTCACACCAGAACACTGACTCACTGGAGGAAGAGTTATTATGGATTAT